CCTCCGTCACGTGTGCCCTGACGGAACTGTTACTTCAACAAGGTCACAGCCACAAGTGCCAGCAGTGCCAAAGGAGTTTTCAGGCCATGTATCATGTCAGTGAAGCACCCTTTTAATGCCTACCCTTGTGTAATATTCTGAACCAACCCAAACTCTCAGTTTAATCCCACTGGATACCTAGGAAGGTAGGAGCACTTACCTCTGGCTCCTGAGTCATCCTTCCTGACTGCTGGAACCCTCTGCCTGGACCCCTCTCTCCTCTCTTCTGCCAGCAGCACAGAAGGAATGTGCTGTTGCAGGTTGGAGATGATGGGGCAGCCAGGTACACCCACTCCAAAGTACTTGCTTTTGAAATGCACTTGAATGCTAAAAATACCATCTGCTTTGGGGAAGCTCAAGGGGTCCTTGTGACTCAGGTTGTGCTGAAATTTCATTTCCTCTTCTGATTCCACGCAACAGAGCCAATGAGAGGAAAAGCAACATTGCCTTTCCCTTGTCTTTTCATTCACAAAATGCAGTAATCACATCCTCCATGCTCTATGCCAACCTTGGCATGTGTAAGAAGAGTTACCTCACAGAAAAGATCACAGGTAGAAGACAACAGCCGTTTCTGCTTTTACCCTTACACCAAGAAAATCAGAGTCACTGGCTCTTGACTTTGGGTGCACATTGGAATCATCTGGAGAATTTTTAAAACTCCTCATGCCAGGTGTCACCCCACAGATTCGGATTTAATCAGTGTAGGATGTGGTCTGAGCATCCAGATTTTTAAAAGTTCCCAGGGATTCTGATGTGCAGAGAATCATTAGTCTATGTGAAACCTAGGCGGTATAGTTCAGGAGCTGAGAACTGGGGAAAGCCCTGCGTTCGGGAGTCTAAGCATCAGTACTCATCCTTGGACAAATAACATAATGTCTTTGTACCTCAATAATTTCATCTGTAAAACAGACACTATTCCCTGCAGTTCTTACTGAGGTCTTATGAGGACCTAATAAGATAAGAAAGTGCTTGGAAAAATAACAAGCACTACATAGTTGTAAGGGTTAGATGATCATTATTTCCTTTGGTGATGTGAGGCTAAGAGCAATATAACTAATATTTATTGAGCACTTATTATATGCCAGGGCCTGTGCTAAGTGCACAGCTGCCCTCCATGGTGAGGACTATTGTTAACCCTGTTTTATAACTGAGAAAACCTACCAAGGAATGAAAGGTAGAAATATACAGAAAGTACAATATCAGTATTCTTTAGAAACTAGGAAACCAGCAGGAATAAGGGAAGGACAAAAAGGTAATAGTAATAAATTAAAGAGATGGAAAAATATATACTAATAGGACAGGTTCTACACAGATATGAAGTGGGTGGATTCCTCTTTCAAAAGCAACACACTCAGATGAGATTAAAACCCAAATGCTGTTTACAAGAAATATACCTACGGTAAAGAGACAGACAAAAACCTGAACATAAATATCTGGGAAAACTTATGCAAGGTTGACACAAAGAAAAAGAGGGCAAAGTGGCCACGTGAAGAGAAAACAAACTCAATTTCAAGGATAGAGACATCAACAGGATTAAGGTGGCCATTTGATATAACCAAAATAGGTATCAATGAGTCATAAAGCCAGAAGCCAGGTATGGGGCAGGGGAATTGCTTGGACCTGGGAGACGGAGGTTACAGTGAGCTGAGACCATTCATTGCACGCCAGCCTGGGTGACAAGAGTGAAACTCCATCTCAAAGAACAAAAACAAAAATAAACAAAAACAAAAAACCCCAAAACAACCATATGAAGAAGGTTTTAATACAGACAGAAGTGAAAATTAATGAAATAACAAATAAAGCAAGTAATTAAAAAAATCTATCATGTTCCTTGACAGTTCCTTGTGTTTTAACATAAATCTCTGGCTGATTTGATTAAGTTTGAAAGAGAAAAAGTAAAATTGTTCAACAGCATAAATGAAAAGAGTAATATAAGTATAGATATAGAAGAAAAGAATAAGAAAAATGTCAATGCAACATTATGATGGCAAATTAAAAAACCTAAAGGAAATGGATAATTTTCTACCAAAATATAATTTCCTGATTTGCACATAAGGGAAAGCAGACAGTGTGAATTGACAAATGACTTCAAAAGCAATCAGAAAATAAAGATCTACTTTATCTAATTAACCATTAACAATAAATAATTCCTATGAGACTTCTCCAGACAATAATAAGATGGGAAGTTCCCCAGGTTATTTTGTAAAGCTAGCATTGTCTTATACAAAACCACATAAAAACATTAAAAATAGAAAATTATAGATCAATTCACCTGTAAACACAGATGCAGAAACTGTAAATAAAATATCAACAGATCAAATCCAGCAGTTAAAAAAAGACAATTAGCATTTATAGTAGGAGTTCAAGGTTGAGTCAACATCTATCATAATCATTTATTCAATTAATAAATTAAAGTAGAAAAGCTATATGAATACACTAATTGCTGCAAAAAGGGATTTGAAAAATTCAGCAATGTTTCCTAATAAAAACTCAAAGCAAAAATGAATACATGGAAACTACCTAAATATAACAAGAACCTATTTGCTAACTGTCTAGAGCAAATGCTCATAAACTGGTGACACCAAGACCTTTAAAATCAGGAATAAGATAGATATAACTGCTAGAATCACGATTATTCAACTTTTGAAATTGCTAAAGATACACAATAAGACATGGAATAATAAGTTGTATAAATATTAGAAGAGATAAACTTGTTTTGAAATTGCAGAATATGTGATCATATATCCAAAAGTATTAAGGAATTCTAGTTAAAAACTACATTAGAGTGAACAAGAGAATATGGAAAAGGAATTGGATAAAATAGAAATAAACAAAACAACTTTTCTCCATACCAGTAATATCAGGTTGGAATAGAAATGGAAAAGAGTTATATAAATATATAGATAGTTCATTAATATGGTAGCAAAAACAATAAAAAAGTCACAAATAGACAAGACAGGTCCAGGACTTTTAGGAAGAAAGGAAAAAAAATCTCACTAAAGAACATAAAAGCTACAAAATAGAGTCACTATGGGAAATGAGCAAAATAGAAAAACAAGTGTCTGATAATAGTCCAGTCAAGATATCTTTGGAAGAAACAAATGAACAGAAAACTTGCATTAACAGATTGTAAGACTTAAATGCAGTGCCTATAATCAAAACAATATGACATTTGCCAGAAACAGATTAATAGGCCAGTGAACCAGTACTGAGAATCCCAAAATGTATACAGATATAGGTACTGGGGAAAATGCCAGTGGTGACATTTCAATTCACAGGAAAAAGAAAACTTTATTTTAAAAATTGTGCTAGTGTAACTGGTTATCTGGAAGAGATAAAAGTTAGCCACCTCCACCCTCTGCCACTTCCCTCATACAATACACACAAATAAATACCAGAAAGGTTAAAGCTTAAAATGTAAAAACTAAATGAATGAAAACATTTCAAGGAAGTCCAGGAGAATACTGAAATAAAATTAGAGAGAAAGTGGCCTTCTTGCATAACCACATACCAGAAAGGAAAAGATGAACATATTGAATTATGTATTATTTTATCTTTGCTATCACAAAAGATAACAAAAAAAGAAAAATAATGGATTGGGAAAAATATTGGCAACATTTATGATAAACAAAGTCTTAAAAATCTCTAATGTTCAAAAAAAAAAAAAAAACCCTCCAAAGTGAGAAAGAAAAAAAGACAAACAATCCTTTAGAAAAAATAATCAACCAACATTAACAGGCAGTTCACATAAAGGGAATGCAGATTAATACTATAACATGGAAATTAAAATAAGGTGATATTATTTTTGCCTATCACACTGATGAAAATTAATAGGCTCCAGGATGCCTAATGCTGGCTGAGGTGTGGAGACAGAGAATCCCATATGTTGTTGGTGAAAGTGTGAATCACCAGAATGTTTGTGGGCAGTGTTTCCAAAGCAGTCCACTTTTAGGACTGTGCTCTACATAGGCAAACATACTATAGCAAATAAGGCTATATCGCAAGAGGAAAAAAAAAAAGAAATATTCAAATGTTCACCAATAGGAGGAGAGCTATGTCAACTAAGCTACATTAGCTCTATGTATTTAAAGAATGTACCTAAAAGAATGAGTTGTAGCTACACTAACTGATCTAGAGGAAGTTTATGATAGAGTACTACATTTAAAAAGCCAAGTTGAAGATAATGTAAATAATGCAATACTATTTTTGTTATCAAAATGGGAAATTAAAACTAAAACCTATATAGGTTTATAAATGTTTGTATAGCACTGCATATAGAAGGATGTGAAACGATCCCTACCAGGTTGTTAAATTATTTACTTCAAGGGCAGAAGATTCATAATTTTTATTACCACTCTCAATTGTGATCACTTGTTATAACAATCATATATAACTTTAGTAATTTTAAAATTTAACACCTAAAAATTTAAAAAAAGAAATATGTTAAATATGATATCTTTAATCAATTTTTGAAAAAATCACGAAAACAAAAACAAAAACAAACAAAAAAATTTTGGGAGGGAATGAAGCCCAGATGTCCCCTTCAAAACTCATGATGAAATGTAATTGCTGTTGTGAAGATATTAAGGGGTGGGACCATTAAGAGGCGATTAGGCCAAGAAGGCCCCACTATCATAAATGGATTAATGTTGTTATGTTATTTTGAGGGTGGGTTGGTATAAAAGTGAGTTCTTCCCTCTCAGTCTGTTGGTCTCTTGCTCTTCACCTTCTGTCATGGGATATGACTGCATGAAGGCCCTCACCAGATACCAGCACTTTTGCCATGGGATACCACAGCATGAAGGCCCTCACCAGACACCAGCACTATGCTCTTGGACTTCTCAGTCTCCAGAACTGTAAGCCAAATATATTTCTGTTTATTATAAATTATCCAGTCGGTGGGATTCTGTTACAGCAATACAAAAGGAACTAAATACACTCCACAGGCAGTGACTACTCACTGTTTTTCCTGGATAACTGCTGGGCAAGGCACTGGCTTCAATGAAATACTTTCTCAGCAGATGTTTGCTGGGGTCAGGACTATCCAGTAAGATGTAGGAACAGAAATAGGCCCCATGCCGAAGCAGGAATATTGCAATGTCTTCATTCCCTAAAGGAACAAAACCAGAAAGCTAAAGGCATGCAGGTACAGAAAGTGTCATAGTTGTTGGAAGGGCAGACTCTGATATGTGGAATGGAAACTGAAAAGGTACTTGTGCTGGTTGGACTTCTCTATTTACTTCTCTTGATGCATCAAGTTCCCGCTAGTAGGAGAATTTCTGTGGGGCTTTGCCCTTTGGAGTGCCTCATACAACAGTCCCATTAGACACAGTCAGTCTCTGTCACTGAAATTCCCTTGCGGGGGCAAGTAAGGGGGAAATGAGGAAGGGTGCAGATATTTTGAAAAAGAAACACAGAACAGGAATTGCAAAAGTCTCCTCACAGAGGTAATTTGAGAGCCAAGAGTGAGAATAAAGACACAGTCTCACATCTGGAGGCTGAGATGGTTTGCATGGTCAGGGTTGACTCAGGGTAGTGGGGAAACCTACCTGACTTGATGGCCGCATACAGGGGCAAGCGCACGATGACTGGGAACTCATTCTTCCTGACAGCGTAGCTCTCTGGGTCAGCCCCGTGTGTCAGTACCAGGAGCTTCACAACCCCCAGGTGCCCTTGTTGGCAAGCCAAGGCCAGCATCCAGTTCAGCAGCCGCTGGGGACTGCAGGGACCTGACAGGAGATGGCAGGACAAAGGGAAAGTACCACTGAAGGGTGCTACTTGCTCCCACTCTGCTCTTCTCTTAGATCATTAGTAACAATGGACTGGTCAAATAAAATGTGGTACATTTGCACCATGGAATACTATACAGCCATAAAAAAAGAATGAGATCATGTCCTTTGCAGCAACATGGATGGAGTTGGAGGTGATTATCCTAAGTGAACTAACACAGGAACAGAAAACCAAATACTGCATGTTATCACTTATAAGGGGAAGCTAAACATTGAATGAACATGGACACAAAGAAGGGAACAACAGACACTGGGGACTACTTGAGGGTAGAAGGAGGAAAAAGGGTGAAGATTAAAAAACTACCTATTGGGTACTATGCTTATTACCCAGGTGACAAAATAATCTGCATACCAAACCCCAGCAACATGCAATTTACCCATGTAACAAACCTGCACACGTACCCCTGAACCTAAAGTAAAAGTTAAAAAAAAAATCCAGCTGTCCTGTTTCCAGCTGAAAGTTGCTTCTGTTGAGTTGATAGTGTTTTCTGGAATAGCCCCTCTGAATTGCATATGACATTTCCACACTTCATTCCCCCACCTGCTTGTCAGAAAATGCCAAGCAATGAAATGTAGGATTAAAAATGGCATATCCAGCTTGATCTTAGCCAAATAAAAAATGAATGTGTGGAAATAAGACTAGAAAGAACTACCCCAGTGTTGTGGTATTATCTCTGGGCTCTCCCCTGCCCTCACCTCTCCCCTAGAGTAACATTACATGCAGGAGTATGAACTTTGGAGACAGGCATTTTAGAGTTAAAATAATTTAGCTATGCAATTTTGGACACATTTCTTAATCTCTCTCTTAGTTTGGCTGTTGGTAAAATTGGAATAATAATACTCATCCTCCCAAGTTTAATGTGAGGACTACATCACAAAATGTGTGTCAAGTGCCTGGATCAATAAATCCTAACTCATTATGTTGTGTCATTGTATTATTAGAGTACTAACACTTTCCCACATTTTAAAATTATCTATAATATACATATATTACTTTCATGAATAATAATAATAAAAGCTTTGGTGAAAGAAATGGATCTGTCAGGCCTAAAACTGAGAATTTATCTCCAATAGAACTGCCTACTTAATTCCAGGATGAAATAACACTTAGCACATTGAGTTAACAGGGACAGTGTGGGCTGAAATGTTACAATATCTTCAAGTTCAAAATAGTGCAATATCTTCTGGGTCTAGTTGCGATGGAAAAATGATCTCATCTTCTGCATGGACATTTCCCAAATGCATCATAACACTGTCTCATTTCCAGAGGCACATAGTCTTAGGGATCAAAGTGCTCCCAAGTGAGGAGAGAGTGACCCTCTCCTTCATGACAGGACGTGAATGAAAGCAGGGTCAGGACGGCCCTGTTATTCACCAAAAAAAACATGTAGCATAGGACTGAGGCTGGAGCCAGTGCCAAATAAATATCCCTTCTTCTCCCTCTACTGTTAACCAGAATTAATTATTTGTAGGTATGTTAACAGAAAATAAGTGACCCCTAATTCACTTACACAAGAATATCTAGGTAAGAGAAACACAGTAACCATGCTAGTAACTTCTGTTGAGATGGGGATGTGTCAGTCTTTGGAGGCAGGCATTGTATTTCAGGACCATGATTTTAAGATGAGGAAACCAAAGCTCAGAGAGGAGGTTTGGAAATGTAGGAGATTGGTCAGAGTGGTGGGAAAAACTACAGTGAAAGGACACAAACCTTCTGAAAGTTCAGAAGGTTCTGCAGAGCCCTGGGGGAAAATAGCTGAAGGCAGAGGGCAAGGAGTGTAGGGAAATGTAGCTTAAACAGGCTTATTTACTTATGGTGACCAGGAACTGACCTTTGATCATCTGCTGACTTGCCATTCCCTGAAAGGGGAACAATAAATGTTAATTACGTACAGGTTGTGCTCACTCCAGGTTTTCGGCATTGTGCCTGCATTGAATAAAAGCAAGCAGCTCTAGCTTCTCCAGGCTGCTCTCTGGCCACTAGAGCCAGGCAGTCACGCAGCTGCTCTACACTGTATACCTGTGTCTGAGCACTCATTTCATCCATCAGCCAGGGTCTGCGGGACATACCCAGCAGGGAAACTTCCTGAAGGTCCCATAGTTGGTAAATAACAAGGTCAAGACTTAAACCTTGCTTTGTCTAAAATCAAAGGGTGCTCTCTTAACCACACAAAACCCCTACAGGTATTATCTACAGCCTAAGGCCAATGACACTCAGAGGAGCCCCTCTTCCTCCCTGCTCAGCTTCAGAGACCAGCAATCACTTAACAACATGCTTCAAAGAATAAATCCCATCAACCTCTCATCCCTCTTCTTCTCAAACCCTCCTTTGTTCTCTAGCTGCTGCTTGTTTTTGCTTTTTGTTTGAGAGAGGGTCTCCTTCTATCTCAGCCTGGGGTATAGTAATGTTATCATAGCTGACTGCAGCCTCGGACTCCTGGGCTCAAGTCATTTTCCAACTTCAGCCTCCCGAGTACCTGGGAATATAGGCATGTGCCACCATGCCTGGTTAATTTAGATTTTTTTTTTTTTTTTTTTTTTTTTTGTAGAGACAGGGTCTCACTATGTTACTCAGGCTGGTCATGAACTCCTGGGCTCAAGTGATCTTCTTGCCTTGGCCTCCCAATGTGTTGGGATTACAGGCATGAGCCACCATGTCCGGCCTGACTCATTTGTCTTCTTGTCTTAACTTACTCCTGACCATGGCTGACTTCCCTTCCAGCTTGGGAACTCCTTTGCAGGAAGTGCAGGGATGGTACACACTGTTTTTCCCATCTCTGCACTTTCTGCAAAGTCCACCACAATGGTCTGAAATCCTTCAGTCCTCAGCAGCTCTGCTCAGAGTTGAGCTGAAGACAGGATGCTCCTGGGAGCAGTTGAAAACCATGATGAGGTTCAGCCATGCTTCCTGTTCTGCAAAAGCAGGCAGCCCAAGTCCTTCCCTCACTTGTCTGCCAAGTAAACTCCTATTCACTCTGCAAAGCCCAAGTCAGATGTCAGCCTCCCTTGGGAGACCCCATCCTGCATCCAGACAAACCTGCCCCCTGGTGTGCTCCCAGACCTCTGTGTAAAAATACTTCAACCTCAGCATAATTACATTGCACAACATTACTCCTTTCTGCCTTAATTTCCCCTGCTTGGCCAGGAGGTACTAAAAGGCTGGGAAAATCTTTAAAAAAATTCTCTGTGTCTCTCAAGTTCTACAAAGTGCTCAGCACTTGGCAGTATTCAATAAATATTAGCTAACATTAGGTGACTGAGTCAGCTGGCGTAGACTCTTCAGGGCTAGAACAGAGCTAATCTTGGGGCTCCCTGAAAAGAGGCAGGTCAGCCTTTGGCTCCTTAGGGGCACCCAAGCTCCTCTCTGCCCTCCTATGTCTTGTCTTAGTCTTCTCATGGGCCCTAAAATTGCCCTGATTTCTGCCCATAATGTCATTCTGCCTTCAGACATATGAGGGGAACACCAGCTTGGAACCAGCTCTGAGCACAGATCTACCAAAGCACACAGCTGGAAACTCTCAAACAGGCTGCTATATAAGTGGTGAGGCCCAATGCAGAATGAAAAGAATGGGGCCTCTTGTTTAAAAATCATGGAACATTTTAAGATAGTGAGTACAGAGTATTAAACAAAACGTGGGCCCTTCTAGGTGCAGGGCCCTGGGCGACTGCATGTTCTCCCACCCAAGAGGTGGGCCCTGGCTCCCAAGCAAAATCCTAACTCCCAGAGACCACTGCTAGGGTATGCCTCAACCTGTAACTGTAGCGATGCCTGCCTAGACTGGTGCAGTGTTTCTGAGCTAAGACCACCACGGGAAATTACAGGAGACCAGGACATCTTGAGTTCACCAAAGAAAAAAATAGTTCCCATAAAAGCAACATAGTGTGGTACACAAATACAATGGAATATTATTCAGCTATCAAGTCACAAACAGGCATGGAGAAACCTTAAATGCATATTGCTATGGGAAAGAAGTGAGTTTGAAATGGCTACATACTGTGGGATTCCAACTAAAGCGATGTTCTGGAAAAGGCAAAGATACTAAAAAAGATCAGTAGTTGCCAAGGGCCAGGGGAGGGAGGGAGGGAGGGATGGGGCCAGGGGAGGGGTGGAGCACAGAGGATTTTTAGGGCAGTGAAACTGTTCTGTGTAATACTGTACTGATGGATACGTGTCATTATCCATTTGTCAAAACCAATGGGATCTACAACAGCAAGAATGAATTGCAATGTAAGCGATGGACTTTAGTTAATAAGAAGGTATCAATATTAGTTGATCAATTGTCGCAAATGTACCACACTAATGCAAAACAGAGTCATAGGGAAAACCGTGTGGAGGGAGTACGGTGGAGCTCACTTCTCTGAGCTTTGGTTTCCTCATTTTAAAATCATGGCCCTGAAATATAGCACCTGCCTCCTAAGACTGCTGCATCCCCATCTCAATACAAGTTACTAGTATGATTACTCTGTCTCTCTTACCTAGACATTCTTGTGTAAGTGAATTAGGGATCACCTGTTTTCTGTTAACATACCTTCAAATCATTAATTCTGGAACTCTATACACTCCAATCAATTTTTTCCATAAATCTAAAACTTCTCTAAAAAGACCAAGGTCTATTAATTATTTTTTTAAAAAGCAATGTTAATTACATTCTTTATGAAATATGGTGTTTGAGACTTTCTCTTATGAGTTCATGGGAGTGAGAGGTGGGATGTGGCTAGCAGGCAAGCTTCACTTTGTTTGGGTGTCAGTGGCCTGCCCTGGATTTCTTGATCTCATTATTGGTGAAAGCATGAAGAAGTAAACATTTTGGGGTGATGCCTAAGAAGAGGTGCCCTGAGACATGGTTAAGAGCTCATGCCCTGTGATTTACCTGGTAAGGACTCAAGCAATTCCTGCACAATGGCCGTGTGCCCAAAATACGCTGCTACCACGGCTGGGTTGTCATCCATGGGCTCAGTGGGCAGCTCCACCAGTCTCTCGCTGAGTAGATAGCGGACCATCTCCAGATCCCCATAGGCCGCTGGGATGCTCAGAAGCTGGCCCTGGCCAAAACAGAACAGGGCTCCAGTGAGATTGGCTCTATTAGGAACTGCCAAGAGAACTGACATTAAATGCTTCACCAGGTCCCGGGGCAGGGCTGGAGTTGTGTTGTCCAGAACGGCAGCACCTGCCAAGTGTGACTGGGCAGCACTTGAAATGTGGCTCCTCAGAAGTGAGAGGTGGAGAGTATAAAATCACATGTGAATTCAAAGACCTAGTACAGAAAGGGTAAGCTAGCTTATGAATAATTTATGTTGATTACATGTTGAAACAATTATTTTAATATATTCATGTTAAATAAAAATAATATTAACATTTTATTTGTTTGTTTCTGTTTGCTCTTTTTTTTTTTTTTTTTTTTTTTTTTTTTTTTTTTTTTTTTTTTTTTTTTTGCCAGCGTCTCTCTCTGTTACCCAGGCTTGTTCACTGCAGCCTTGACCTCCCAGACTAAAGTGATCCTCCTGCCTCAGCTTCCTGAGTAGCTGGGACTGCAGGCATGTGCCACCACACCGGCTAATTTTTTTTTTTTTTTTTTTTTTTTTGTAGAGACTAGATCTTGCTATGTTGCTAGGGCTGGTCTCGACCTTCTGGGCTCAAGTGATCCTCCAACCAGAGTACCTGAGATTATAGGTGTGTGCTTGTTTACTGCTTTAATGTGGCTACTAGAAAATACGATATTATACATGTTGCTCTCATTTGCTGCTCTCGACTACCTGCTTCATGAGGAAGGGGATGGTGCGCATAGCCCCTTCTGGCATAGAGCCAGAGCTCAGTAATCACTTGGGACATGTTGAGTCAGTCCTGGGAAGAGGGAAGGCAACCAGGGTCTCTGAGGAACCATTCTGCAATTTATTCATAAATGGAATGTGACAGACTAGGGGACTTCACAGATCTGAATCCAGGGACAAAGATCCTCCAGCAGCATGCAGAGGGACTCTTGACTTGGTGGCCCAGAGGAAGGAAAGGATATGGTGGAAACTGGACCCAAACCTGAGTTCCTGCTCATTTCCAGTCCTTCCGGTATGTAAAGGTCCTATGTGGCAGGCCATGTATTAATACATCAACAAGAATGTGGAGGTTCAGAGAGGTTTCAGAGCTTGCCCGACACCACATAGCTAGTAAGTGGCTATCATAGACCAGTGTAAAAGTGGTCTTGACTTATCAAGAGCTCTCTGGGTCTGAGAAAAGGATACTCAGATGGCTGCTAGATTGGCATGTTAAGTGTTTGATTGCATTTCTGAAATGTCAAGTCCTTTGGCATCTGGTTGTCTCCTATGGGCTTGAACATCAGTGTGTTCAAGCGGGTAGATGGGGAGCCCCTATTGGAATGGGATGGCCAGTGCCTCCATCAACACTTATTGAGGATCTACTGTGTGTGAGAGGTGGGACGGTGCACTGAGGATGTCAGGGGCCATTTCTGGTCTCCACAGATTTACAATTGATTTGAGGAGGGAGTATGCATAAACAGCCCCCAACAAGCACATTTGACTTGCTGAATAGTTTATAACACAAGTGTGTTTGGAGATCATTTTAGATGCGTTGGGTAGGAATGGGTAAATGGAGCCCCCAGGAAAGGGAATGGACATTTATCAAAGCTCTCATCATGTGACAGATTCTGGACTGAGTACTTTATTCACATGGCTACATTCAATCCTCCCAACAGTCATGCCAGGAATGTGCCTGTATTTTCTGTATGTTACAGAAGAGTAAATAAAAGCTTGCCCATGGTTAGGGAGTTTATCATCAGCAGAACTGCTCAGGGTTTGAACTGGGGTGTCTAGCTCTAAAGCCTAAGAGTCTCTGTTGCATTCAAGACTTCCTGGAAACATGGGACTTGGAGGAAGGCTCAGGTTCTGTAAGTGGAGTGAATGGGCTGGCAGTGGGATCTATGTCTGGCAAGTGAGGAGAGGAACAGTCTAAGGGGCTGGGATCAGGTGAAGGACAGTAGACTCATATATTCAATACGATCAGAAAGAAAAGCCCACCCACCTGCCACTCTGCTGAGGGTGAGGCCCAGTAGCCCTGTCATTCCAGGAAAGCATTTGCATTATGGAGAAAAGCCACAGTGATTGATTAAATGCTTCACTGCACACAACTAACAGCTGTCTAGACTCGGTCGGTTAGAGGCTTAAAAGCCCCATCCTCTAGCAGTGGTAAGTGATGTCATAGGAGCCAGCCCAAGGCCAAGAAGACCCAGACAGTGGGAAAGGTCAAAGCTGGCTTTCTGGCTGGAGTCTCCATAGTGAGTATTTTAAAAAATTCCAACAGCACAGAAAAGTATAAAGCAAGAAGTAGGCATCTCTCTATGTCTTTACCTCCCAATTGCCCTCTGCAAAGGACACCTTCCAGAACATATTTATTTATAGTATTCACAGGTAATCTCATATACAACTGAATGCTTTTTTCACTTAATTCATTATGACCTTTTAATCATCAATATAACACACCTGCACACCTGCAGAAAAGTGCAAATATTTTAAATGTTCAGTTTCATGCAAGGCATTTGAATACACCCATGTAACTGGCCTCAGTCCAAAGACCAGGACATCACCTGTGCCCAGAAGCCCCCTTTGTTCCTTCTAGTCACTGCCCTATGGTGAGGAACCACTATACTGACTTCTGACATCGTAGATTAACTATTACCAGTTTTTAAGTGCTGTAAAAGTGGACTTATACTTCGGTTATTTTTAAACTTTTTGCTCTGAAATAATCAGAGATTCATGGGAAGTTACAAAGATAGTACTGAGAGGACCCTAGTATCCTTCATCCAGTTTCCCCCAATGGCAACATCTTACCTAATTGTAGCAAGATACTTGATGTTAGTACAATGTGTGTATATGTTCTGCATTTTGTCACAGGTGTAGACTTGAGTAGCCACCACCACAATCAAGATACAAACCTGCTCCATCACCACAAAGGTCTCTGTCATGCCACGTACCCATGGTAGTCTCACTCATCCTCTTCCTCTTCAGCATCTCTAACCCCTGACAAACACTAATCTCTTTCCACCTCTATAATTTTGTCATTTTGAGAATGTTACTTAAATGGAATCATAGAGATGATCTTTTGAGATTGGCTTTTTTTTTTTTAAACTCAGCATAATGTCCTGAGATCCATCCGAGTTGTTGCATGTTTCCGGAGAGTGCCTTTGTATAGCTTAGTAGTACTCCATGTATGTTTAAGTATTCACTTACTGAGAGTCTTTGGTTGTATCCAGTTTTGGGTCATTACAAATAAAGTTTGTATGAAACATCGTGAGCAAGTTTTTGTGTGCATGTAAGTTTCCTCTCTCTAGACTAAATATTCAGGAGTTCAATTGCTGGTTCATAAGTGAATTTTTAGTTTTTTAAAGAAACTGACAAACTATTTTCCAGCATGATTGTACCATGTTACATTGTTGGTGGTAACACATTAGAGATACCCCTTCTCTGCATCCCAATCTGAATTTGATACTGTCACTATTTTTTATTTTTGCTGTTCATAAAGCTGTGTAATGACATCTTATCATTGTTCTAATTTTTATTTTCCTAATGGCTAATGATGTTAAACATCTTTTCATGTGCTTATTTGACATCTGTGTATCTTCCTCAGTGAAATATCTCTTCACATGTCTCATAACTTTTCTATTCGGATTGTTTGCTTTTTAATGTTGAGTTTTGAGAGTTCTTTATATATTCTAGCTATGGAGTCCTTTGTCAGATAAGTGATTTGTAAATATTTCTCTCAGTCTGTAGCTTGTTTTTTTTAGAATCACTGTCTTAGATATTTCTCAGAGAAAAGTTTTTACTCTTGGTGAGGTCCAGTTTACCAATTTTTCTTTCATAAATCATTTCTTTTATGGATTTTCTGTATAGATTGTCATGTGATCTACAAATAGAGACAGTTTATTTCTTTCATATCTGTGTGCCTTTTATTTCATTTCCTTGCCTTCTTGCATTGGCTAGAATTTCCAGCAATATATTAAATATATTGAATAGTATTTTTAAAATACAATGATATTATAGTTGCTCTTGAGTAGAACTTGAGAGTGGACATTCTTGCCTCGTTCCTGATCTTAGGGGAAAACAGTCTTCAACATCAAGAATGATGTTAGTTGTAGGTTTTTGTCAATATTCTTTATCCAATTGAGAAAGTTCCCTCCTATTCTTAATTTTCTAAGAGTTTTTGAGAAACATGGTATTGAATTTTGTCAATTTTTTTCTGTATCAATTGATATGATAAGGTAACTTTTCTTTTTTAGTTTATTAGTAAAGAGGATTACATTGATTGATGATTGAAACCGAACCAACTTTGCATCTCTGGAATAAACTCCACTTGGTCATGGCTTAGAATTCCTTTTACATATAGCAGAATTGTACTTGGTAATATTTTGTAAAGAATTTTTGCATCCACATTCATAATGGGCATTGGTCCATACTTTTTTTAACACTGTCTTTGGTTTTGGTGTTAGGGTAATACAGCCTTGATGAAAGTGTTAAAAAATGTTCCCTCTTCTATTTTCTAGAAGAGACTATGTAGAATTGGTATTAATTCTTTAAATGTTAGGTAGAATTATCCAGTGAAGCCATCTGGATCTGTAAATTTATTTTTGGGGGAAGTTTAAAATTATGAATAGAATTTTCTGCATAGTTAAAAGGTTATTCAAATTATGTATTTCCTATTAAGTTGTGGTAATTTCTACTTTTCAAGGATTTGTCCGTTTCATCTAAGTTATCCAATGTATGTGTTTAGAGCTATTCATAATGTCCCCTTATTATCTTTTTGATATCTGCAGGATCTGTAATGATGTTCTGTGTTTCCCTTCTGATGTTGGTAATTTTTGTCTTTTGGATGTTTTTCCCCTAAAGGCAATGTTTCTCTTTGACTACTTTCAAAGTTTTATTTTGTTTTGTCTTTAGTTTTAATAAGCTGGACTATGATGCACTTGGAATGGATTTCTCTGGGTATGTCCTGTTTGTTTTCAACTTCTTCAATCTGAGCATTTATGTCCTCTGCCAGTTTGAGAAGTTTTCAGCCATTGTCTCTTTGAGTTCTCCTTCAGTCTTGCCTTCTGTCTACTCTCCTGGGATTCTGATGACATGAATGTTAGATCTTCTGTTAAAATCCTCACATGTCCATGAGGCTCTGTTCATTTTTTCAGTCTATTTTCTTTTGTTTTGGCTTTATTTCCAGAGTGGGTAATTTCTACTGTTCTGCCTTCTCCCTGATTCTTTCCCCTGTCCTCTCTTCTCCATTCTACAGTTGAACCCATTCATCGAGTTTTTTTTTTTTTTTTTTTTAATTTCAGGTATTGTACTTTTAAGTTCTAAAATCTTCATTTGGCTCTCCTTGTGTCTTTTATTTCTTTGCTGAAACTTTCTATTATTCCATTTGTTTCAAGTATATTTATAATTGCCCACAGAAGCATTTTTATGATGACTACCTTAAAATCCTTGTTAGATAATTCTAACGTTGGAGTCATCCTGCTCCTGGCCTCTCTTGGTCATCTTGTCTCAGTGAGTTTGTGATCTTTCTGGTTCTTGGTAATTATAAGTAATTTTTTTAATGGCCTGGATATTTGGGGCATTATGTTTTAAGACTCTGGATCTTACTTCAATCTTGTGTTTTGGCAGGCCTCCTCTGATGCCGCTCTGGTGGGTAAACAGGGATGGCCCCTCAATGCTGCCTGGTGGGGTGGAAATCTGGGGGCTATACTTATAATCAGTTGACCACCAGTAAGCAGGGGCTTCTTGTTATTGCTGGGCAGAGTTGGGACTTGAGATTCTCCTCCAGGCCTGCTTCAATTCTACCCTAGTTATATGGGGAACACATGTCTCATTACTGCCAGGCTGGGTGGGGACAGAAGTCCAGGCTCCCCACATGCTGTCCACTGATGGTGATGGGGGGATGTTGTCACCACCTGGTGGGGATTAGCACCCCAGCTCCTCACAGCCTTCTCTGACACCCTGGGGTGGGGATGATTGAGGTGCCTGTTACAGCCTGGCAAGGGTGGAACTCTAGGCTCTCCACCTGGCCTTTGCTGGTGAGAGGTAGGGCCGGTCTGCAAGCATATTTCTGCAGTGTTTGGCAGAAGGGGGTTTGGTGATTGCCTATAAGTTTCCTGCCTGGCTTTGCTGTGCCTTTCCTGGTGCTTTGGTTAGAGAGAGCAGGCTTTCCTTGGATTTTTTTTTTTTTCTCCTCTGTGCCAGTTTGTGTTTCTGGATTGCCAACTTCCTCAGTATCTGGTTTGGGACGTATGAGATAAAAGTAAAACCCAAAAACGTACTACTGCGATTTCCTTGAGTACTGAGACCACCAGCTAGTCTGCCTTCTTTTCTCCACCTTTCAGAATCCTACGTTTGTTTTACATGTAACGTCTAGAGCTTTAGTGCACTTAGTGAGAAGAGGGCAAAGTAAACAACCTCCATGTTCCCTCCATCTTCCCGGAAGCAGAAGTTCTGCGCTTATTACATTAAGTTACACTGGAGTTCTTTCCAAAACAGCTGCTAGAGATTATTTTGTGCTTTTGGAGTGCTGTGTGGTATTCTAGGACCTGGACAGACTGACATTTCTGTAGCAGCCTTCTCCTGTGGATGGAACAGTTAGGCGGTTTTCAAGGTTGTGCTATCTTAAACACAACTTGAGTGAACATCCTTACACATACAACTTGGTAATTTTTTTTTCAAGTAAATCTGTAGGCGTAAGTTCCTAGCAGTAGTTTTGCTGGGTCAAAGATGATGAAATTTGAAAATTTGATAAGCATTTTCAGATGGCCTTCCAAAGAGGCTGCACACATTCCTAGTATATTCCTAGTAGCATTGAATAAAGGTGTGTAAGTTCCCATAGCCTTCCTTCTGATTTTTATCAAACTTTAAGGTGTCAATCTGATTAACTTAAAAATGTTGTTTCATTTTTGTTTAATTTACCTTTCTATAAGCTTTAACAAAGTTGAATAACTTTACATATGTGTACCATCCATCTGATTATCGTTCAGGTGTGTGTGTGTCTATTTGCCTATTCATATCCTTAGTCATTTTCATTCCAGGTACTGTTCTCACCTACTCTTGGTATTGAGGTTGTGTTAGCTTCATCAAAGGAACGGGGGAGGGGAGTGCACCCTCTTTTTCTATTTTCTGGACAAGTGATTTTATTATTTGGTAGAACACACGAGTAAAACCATGTAGACCTAGAATTTGTTTTGTCAGAAGGTTTTACATGATTGATTTATTTCCTTCATGGTTGAAAGACTATTCATGCTTTCTCTTTCTTTTCAAAGTTAAATTTTTATTTTTATTTGTTCATTTCATCTAAATTTTTGAGTGTTTTAACATAAACTTGCTCATAATACATTCTGTTGTTATGTTTTTAATGCTTGTATAAACTGTCGTGAAGGTCTCTTTTATATTCCTGATTTATCTATTTCTTCTTTTTCATCTTTTACTCTCACCAGAGATTTTCCATTTTATTAATCTCTTCAAAGAATCAATTTTTCATTTGGTGGTCATTTCTACTTCTTTCTACTTTGCTTTATATTTCAAAACTTTCAAATTATTTTTACAATTTCATGCCTTCTACTTTCTTTACCTTTATTTTGCTGCTTCCATGTCCTGTTGTCCTTTTGAAAGTTATATTATTATTTCATATTGACTTATAAAAGCTCTTTGTCAATGAAGGATATTAGCCATATACCTTCTCCTTTTGCATCAATCCTTGACTCTTAATTATGGTATTTTTTGGAACTATAATTTTACATTTTTATGAAAACACAGATGTATCCATCCTTTTCCTCACTGTCTTCTTAAAGTCCAATCAGCTAGGATTTCATCAATGTTGTATTCAGCAGAGAGGCAGCTTTCTAGGAATCTTTTTGATTTTGAGTTGCCACTGTCCATGATGCTACAGAGAAGAGACCCACACCCAGGACTCTGTTTTCCTTTATTCAAATATCAGCAAGAGTGCCCTTTCCCAAATTATGATGCCACTCTCTTTAACAGCTTTTCCACCCTCAGGATGAAATCACATCCCCTTTGGCTCTCGGGCCCCTCCGTGATCATCTTCCCCCATCAGCATCTCCTGCTGCTGCCACATCCCTGAATCTGCACAGCTCTGATATGAGCCACTATCTCTGGCTGCTTGGCCACTTGGCAGGGATGCCAGGCTGTGTTTGCTGCACAGCTCTTCCCTGCTTGAGGCCACTGCTGTCCACCCGAAGAGCCCACAGCTCTGACCTGCTCATGTGCACAGCGCAGCTCTCCCTGTGCAGAAGAATGGTCCTTTGCTATATCCACCATGAATTCCTAATCAGAGGGATTTCAAATGCCTTCCTTATGCTTAACAATTCCCAAGCATGCAGTACTGCCCCTCTCCCAATCTCTTACACTTCTGAGAACAGGTTGGAGTTTTAGGAATTGAATGAATTCTAACTATCAATTAAATGGAAACATGTTAAACCTGTCCTAATCAAAGTAATGCAAATAAAACATCCTTAAGGTATTTTCATGATAATAACCAATAAGAATCTCCCACAAGGGCAAAAAACGTGGTAAGGGCCCACTCCAATTGTTGCTGGCAGGGTTAATCTGTAGAAGATTTTTGGAAAACAGCTTGGCATGTACTCCAAAACTTTAAAAGTCCTCATATCCACATTCTCAATCCCCGTACATCTATGCTAAGAAAATAACATTACAATAAGAAAAGAATTCGGCAAAAACATTCGATAGAGCATCATTTATATTAGTAAGAAATGAGAAGCAATCCACATATCCAACCAAGATAAATAGCCGGGTGAACACATTCCCTGTAGATGGAATGTCATGTATCCATTGAACGAGACGCCTATAAGGAATTTTTAATCATCTGGAAAATTATTAAAATAATATTATAAAAGTACAAGCAGCAGCTGCATAACCATATATGCAATCTGGTGGCATCTATATTAGAAACAACAACAACAACAACAACAACAACAATGTATGCTCAGATCGGCAGGCTGGAAGAAAATACAGCAAAACCGCTAAGTGGGTTTTAGGGTGTATTAGAAATTTGGTTACTTTTTTGTCCCATTTTTCCTACTTTTATATATTTTCTACATTTTATTTTTCCAGCATGTGCTACTTTTTATAATGACAAAAAGCGTAAAAGAATACAGTAGGTTAAGTCTCTGGGTGGCATTTTGTTCTTTACATTTAAGTGACCCCACCCCTGTCCCTCAAAGCCCTCCCATGAAAAGGTGGCAGGGGCCTGCTTAGGTGATAGCAGACTGAGAAGTCAATTGGAAAGGAAAGGCGCCCACAAGTTTATATGCAAAATGAGGCATTTCCAGAACACAGTAAGAATGCTCACTACAGTTATGACAAGAACGAGAAAATCATCTGAGCGGTCACCTTCCTCCAGCCCAGGACTGCATTGGTGGCCGCAGGGGCAGGCACTCCCCCTACCTTTTCCAGCTGGGACGTGCACTGGTCGCAGGCCTCCTTGAGCAGGTCCCGGGCGCCGCCACGGTCTCCCTGCCTGTACGCGGCGCGAATGCCTTCCGTCCTCGGGGACTGCGCTGTAGGGTCACCGCCTGGTGTGGACGGTTTGCTGCCCATGTCCCCAGCACCTGCGTGGGAGGAAGCGCACACACAGCGTCACCGTCAACTGCCTGCGTGCTCTTGAGAATCATCGTAGAACACAGCAGAGGGATGTGCGGTCCATTGCACGATCGTGGGGGCTTCAGGAAGAGAAAGGCATGGCCCTGCAATGCTCCCTGCACTCGCCACCCCGCGACCTGCAACCCTGCCTCAGAGCCCTCCCGGGGCTGGTGCGAAGCGGGCTGTCTGCGAAGGCACCGGGCAGCGAGCACAGCTAGGAGGATTCTGCAGTGAGACTGCCACCTGGAGCCCTTCCAGGGCACTGGGGACAGCTGCCTGCGGGGGAGCAGCCGGGCTGACCTCACCGACAGCAGCGGAGGAGCAGGGGCTTTGGCGAGAGAGCTGGAGGTCTCAGCCAAACTGTCCCGCTGCTGTGCCCACAGGGGATAGAGTATTTAGTGATGGAAGAAAGACAGGCCAACTCCTGGGGGTGTGGAGATCTGGACGCTTTCCCTGCCAGCCTAGAAAACCCCACGAAGGGCGTGGGATTTAGAATCAGCAGCCCTCACTCCAGACCTGCTCTTGCACAAACGCGCTGCGTAACAATCTGGGACAACCCCCGAAACACTGGGCCTCGGATCGCGCTGGTTCACCAGAGCACTGGGCTGCTCCAGGTCATCTGAGCACCTGGTGCCACTCGGGAGGAGAGGCCAGCCTTGCGGGAGGCCACGATCCAGCACCCGGGCCATTCAACAAAAGCGACAGTCATTTACTGAGCGGCCATGATGGGCCGAGCACTCGCTGGGTGCAGAAGGAGCAGAGGGAAACGACGGCGGCCTTTTGCCCTCCCTGAGCTTCCACTCTAGAAGGGGTTCACAGTGAGGGTCTGTGGACCCCGAAAGGCTAACAGGTTTCTAAAGTTTCCTGAACATCCTAAAATTGTACACAAAACTGGATGTGTGTGTGTACATTTTTCCAAGGACAAAATTCAAAACTTCTACCAGATTTCCAAAGAGGTTAGGGAACAACAGTAAAAAGCTTTCTCTCCATAGATATTACAGAAAAGACCGCAATGGATGAGGAGTTAAATTCTGATTGCGTGGAGTGACAGCAGAAATAGGTAAAGAATACTGTTGTGAAAGGTGATCATGCAAATTGGATTATTGTTTTTACACCCTACTAAAACAGAGCTGAGAAGCCAAGAAGAAAAAGCACTCCGGGCATGTAACATTACTCCAAAAATATAATTCTCTACAAGTCCGACTACTAAAAATGTCTACTACAACTAAAACCAGTTTTATCTAATAACTACTAAAACGACTCTAAAACTAGCTTTACCCACAACTGTCACTCACCCATCATAACTTGCCAACTCTCCAAAATCTTGCTAATACTAATACATTTTCTTGTAAAACACCCCTAACATTTCTCCTTTTTATTACAAAACTGCCAACTTTCTCTTTATTCTTCAAACATATCAACTCTCTCTCTCTCTCTCTCTCTCTCTCTATATATATATATATATCACAAATTACAATTCTTATATCCCAATAAAACATTAGATTTTAAAATTCTTTTCAGGCTGGGCATGGTGGCTCACGCCTGTAATCCCAGTACTTTGGGAGTCTGAGGCAGGCAGATTACTTGAGGTGAAGAGTTCGAGACCAGCCTGGCCAACATGGTGAAACCCCGTCTCTATTAAAAACACAAAAATTAGCTGGGCGTGGTGGCATGCACCTGTAATCCCAGCTACTTAGGTGGCTGAGGCACGAGGATCACTTGAACCCAGGAGCCTGAGGTTGCAGTGAGCTGAGATCACACCACTGCACTCCAGACTGGGTGACAGAGTGAAACTCTGTCTAAAAAAAAAAAAAAAAAATTCTCTTTTCATTTGCAACAGCATGGATGGAACCGGAGGTCATTATCTTAAGTGTAATAAGCAGGCACAAAAAGACAAATATCGCATGTTCTCACTTATTTGTGGGAGCTAAAAATTTGATCACATGGAGGAAGAGAGTGGAAAAATGGGAAAAACAAATAACAGAGACTGGGAAGGGTGAGTGTGGGAGCAGGGAGGATGAACAAAAGTGGGTTAAAGGGTACAAGCATACAGTAAGAAGGAATAAATTCAATGTTTGACAGCAGAGTAGGGTAACTATAGTTAACAAAAATGTACTGTATTCAGGTGATAGACACCCTAAATGCCCTGACTGGATCACTATGCACTATATACACATAACAAAATGTCACTTACACCCCACAAATTTGTACAAATAAAAAATAAAAATAAAAATTTATCTGTATATTTTTATTTTGACTTCAACACAATCATTCTTGGCCAAGTTCACACAGCCAGTAGAGGCAAACTGGGACAGAAGTTTGGTCTCCCAGCTCTCAGGCTAAACCCACCCCATCTTTGTGCTGCCTCTCTGAAGGGATGAATAAAACAGGCTTTGGATTGATTTTCTTCTTCTTTTTTCTTTTTTTTTTTTTTTTGAGACACAGTTTCACTCTGCCTCCCAGACTGGTGTGCAGTGGCACGATATCGGCTCACTGCAATCTCCACCTCCTGGGTTCAAGTGATTCTCACGTCTCAACCTCCTGAGTAGCTGGGATTACAGGTGCAAGCCACCAAGTCTGGCTAATTTTTGTATTTTTAGTAGAGACAGGGTTTCACCATGTTGGCCAGGCTAGTCTCAAACTCTCGACCTCAAGTGATCCACCCACCTCAACCTCTCAAAGTGCTGGGATTACAGGCGTGAGCCACTGTGCCTGGCCTTGTTTTTCTTTTTAAATGTAAATGCATAGCACGGTTGGCTCACAGACATACACCTCACAAAAATGAATCACATAATCGCAGCTAACATTTGAAAAATTGAAAAAGTAGTTTAGGATAGTATAAAATTACATTCTTAGAAAAAAAATGTAATAAAAGATTGGCAAGATCTGTATGCTGAAAACATACAACATTGCTGAGAGAAATTGAACAAGACCTAAATAAGTGGGAAGACATCCATCTTCATGTATTAGAAGACTTAGTACTGTTAAGATGTCAGTTCTCTTTGATTTTATCTATAGATTCAATTTAATCCCAACTATGATTCCAATAGGGTCATTTTTTGGGGAAATAAATTGACAATCTGATTCTTAAGTTTATATGGAAATTTGAAAGACCTAGAATAGCCAAAGCAACCTTGAAAATGAAGAGAGTTGGAGAATGTACACTACCTGATTTCAAGACATTGGCAGGATGGAGTTGGAAGCCATTATCCTTCCAAGAAACAAACTACAAAGCTATAATAATCAAGACAGTATGGTACTGGGTATAGACAAATGGCTCCAAGGGACAGAATAGAGGGTTGAAAAATAGACCTGTGCTTGTACATCCAATTGATTTTTGACAAGGGAGCCAAAGCAGTACAATGGGAAAAGCAAAGTCTTTTCAGTAAATAGTGCTGGAGCAACTGGACACCCTCATTTAATAAAAAGCAATGACCCCTACTTTTCACCATACACAAATATTATCTTGAGATGGCATACACATGTTCATTACAGCACTATTTACAATAGCAAAGTCATAGAATCAACCCAAATGCCCATCAGTGATAGACCGGATAAAGAAAATGTGGTGGCTGGGTGTGATGGCTCACACCTATAATCCCAGCACTTTGGGAGGCCAAGGCAGTTGGATCACCTGAGGCCAGGAGTTCAAGACCAGCCAGGCGAACATGGTGAAACCCCGTCTCTACTAAAAATACAAAAAATTAGCCAGGCGTCATGGTGGGCACCTGTAATCTCAGCTGTTACGAAGGCTGAGGCAGGAGAATTGCTTGAACCTGGGAGGCAGAGGTTGCAGTGAGCCGAGGTAGCACCACTGTGATCCAGCCTAGTCAACAAGAGCAAAACTCTGTCTCAAAAAAAAAAAGAAAAAAAGAAAAAGAAAATGTGGTACATATACAGCATAGGATACTATGCAGTCATAAAAAGGAATAAGATTATCTCTTTGCAGGGACATGGATGAAGTTGGAAGCCATTATCCTCAGCAAACTAACACAGGAACAGAAAACCACATACCACGTGTTCTCACTTATAAGTGGGAGCTGATTGATGAGAACACATGGACACACGAGGGGAACAACACACACTGGGCACCTGTGGTGAGGGAGGGTGGGGAAAGAGCATAAGGAAGAACGGCTAATGGATGCTGGGCTTAATACTTGGGTGATGGGATGATCTGTTCAGTAAATCCCCATGGCACATGTTCACCTATGCAACAAACCAGCACATCCTGCTCGTGTACCTCTGAACTTGAAAAAAAGTTTTAAAAAAAGAAAAAATAATTGAGATGAATCATGGACCTAAACATAAAGGCTAAAACTATGAAGCTTCTAGGAAATCATATGGGAGACTATCTTCATGACTTGAGGGTAAGCAAAGGTTTCTTACATGGGACACAGAAAACAATTACCAGGAAAGGAAAAATTGCTAAATTAGGCTTCATCAAAATTTAAAACTTCTGCTCCTCAAAAGATACCATTTAAAGTTAAATAGGCAAATTATAGACCACAATAACATATTTTCAAAACATATCTGAAAATGAATGGTATCTACAATATAAAAACTCACATAACTCCATAATAAAAAGACAAACAATCCAGTTGAAAATGAGCAGGCTGGGCATGGTGGCTCACACCAAAGTAATCCCAGCATTTTGGAAGGTCAAGGTGGTGGATCCATTGAGCCTAGGAGTTTGAGACCAGTGTGGGAAACATACAGACCCTGTCTCTAACGAAAAATTTTAAAAATTAGCTGGGCATGGTGGTGCACACCTGTAGTCCCAGTTACTCAGGAAGCTGAGAGGTGGGAGGATGGCTTAAGCCCAGGAGGTCAAGGCTTCAATGAGCTGTGATTGCACCACTGCACTCCACTGGCCTCGGTGACAGAGCAAGACCCTGCCTCAAAAAAAAAAAAAACAAAACAGAAGGAAGGAAGGAAGGAAGGAGCAAGGGAAGGGAAGGGAGAAAGAAAG